GTTTTAATAGTGAATTCCAACTTATACATTGTTAATAACATAATTTTATATACGTGCCTATCTTGCCCCATTACTGTTGCCCCTATACCAGGGGCAACTTTAATAAAAATAATTAAAATAATTACAACTTTACAAAAAGAGAGAAGTTGCCGATCTTGCCCCTATACCCGGGGCAACTTCGTCAATTTCTCTCTTCTTGTAAAGTTGTAATTATTTTAATTATTTTTATTTCCAAACTGATTTTAACCAGTTCTATAGTAAGGTAACATTCCAATAGACAATATGCAAAGCTTTTTTTTTAGTTTACAGCAGTATTTATTACACAAAATTTAAGTAAAGCATAACATGCCGATCTTGCCCCGGTCTCCCCTATATAAAAGACTGTTTTTCTAAGTAATCTAGAGTCTAGCTGCAAGGACCCGCTTCGCTGGGCAAAAAGTAACCATAGTGAAGATTAAGATAATTACATTATAGCCAATCTTACCCGTTTTCACAGAATGCAAGAATTAGGTCCTCCGTTTCCAGACAAATTAAAGATTTGGTCCCGATTCTATTTTTGGACGTCTCCTGTTTACGTCAAGTCAAACGAACTATTATCAACGTTTCTGGAACGTTTACAATCGTTTTATAATCGAACCAATATTCGAACGATTGTTCGAATTTAATTCGAACAAATTTGAACAAAACATTCGAAATAGAAAGCCACTTTCAACCACTTTCAGCCTCATATCTCCCGCACCCTTATAGCTATAGAGACGCAACCACCCCTATGCATGAATGGAGACTTGGGGCTACTACTACATACAAACACCATTCACGTGCGATGTGTAGTTTTGGCGGAAAAGTGAAATATAGGGACACACACGTCCATTTATATATATATAGATAGATAGATAGATTTTATTTTACAATAAGTATCGAAAAAACGTCGAATACATTTTATATTTTTTCTCATTGAAGCAGATCATGTATATTTCTAATTATCGAATTGTATTACTCATTCTATAGTGCACCCAATAGATAATGATGCAGGATTTATAAACGAAAACGGAACCTGGACTGGAATAGCAGGAAAAATTGCTTACCATGTGAGTATATATAAAATACGTGTAAGTAAAATATTTTAACATTTAAAATAAACATTAGACAAACACTTGATGGTTTTTTTCTGCTGAAAACAAGAGGTTTAAATTCATACTTTACATAAACGATACAATTCATCAAATTTCAAATGTTCTTAATATTCAAAAGTATAAAGTATTGTAATAGACAATGATATCCTAATAAAAACACCAAACATCTATTGTTAAACTATTTACTTATTGTACAGATTCTAACATACAGACTGTATATATAACACGAAATTATGTACATAACTTATTTTATTACATTATTATTAATTCAGATTAATTCAGCAATATTAGTTAGCTAAATCTGTTATTTATCTAACCACGTACAAAAGTTTATGGACTAATTAACAGAAATTGTTGTTTTTTTAATCCGACCATTCACCAGGGTTCAAAAAATTGCTCAGTATCAAGTTCAATTTTCATATGTTATAGTTATCGCATTTTGGTTCCAACTTTTTCGTGGAGTTTTCCTCGGTCTACAAAGTATAAATTTTTGTTTTCATATGTTATATTTATCGCATTTTGGTTCCAACTTTTTCGTGGAGTTTTCCTCGGTCTACAAAGTATAAATTTTTGTTGTAAATTTACAGTTAAAATTTTTTAAATAATTTTTTATTTTTAAAATATTTTAAAAGTAAATGATTTACAGACTATAAATTACAAACCATACTGCCCTGCTGTAACAAAAAAGAGAGTCTATATTTCAGCATTAAAGAAAATTTGTGCGTGTAAATCATATGAAAATGATAAAACCAATGAAAAAACAAAGATAAAGAAGATTTGTTTACTAAATGATTACTCATAAGAATAATAGAAAAATGGACAAACGGTCACAGAGAGAACAGATACAAATTTACATTGAAAAAACTAGAAATAGCAAATATATCTTTTCTTCATATTAAAAGTAATTTCGAAAAATTTAGTAACATCTTTTAAAGACAATCCACAAAATTAACAGCTAATCTAAAAAATAATTTCAAAGAATGCATAATTAATAAACAAAATATATTGGAAATATCTGGCATAGTACATAAATTGACATGCACTGTGAATATTATGTTTTTTATATTGGAGAAACAGGAAGAATTTTACAAAAAAGGATAAAAGAACATTACGGATCAATCAGACTGAAAAAAACCAAATCACATCAGTTTCACTTAGTGCAACAAAAATTAATGTAAAATTAATAAAAACATCAAATTTTTATTTAGAGAAACGATATATATTAATATTTTAAAAAATTTAAATAACACATAGCAATTTAAATTATAACATTTTAATTATTATAGATAGCGGAGTCGTTATTGTTAATGTATGGAATTACGTCGTACAAAAAGATTAAAACATGTTATGCAATGTGGGATGATTGTTTTTTGTAGAATTTGTAGAGATATTATTAGATGGTTGTGAATAGTTGGCGTGGTTTTTATTGTAGACAGTACCTACTGTAAAATATTTGTGTAAGTATTGTAAGTAATTTGTTCTGTTTTATTTTTTAAAAAATGTTTTAATTGTGAATTTACAACAAAAACCCCTTTGTTAGTTCACAAATTCATTGTAGATGGTTTGTAAATAACATATTCAGTTATTTTTCAATTCATATTTGTATACTTTCTTACTTCTACGAGAATATGAAACTTCAACAGAATACCAATTACCAAAGTTAGCCGAGCATAACTTTATTACAAGAAACACTATAGTTTAATATATTAAAATTAAAATATAAATTGAAAAAGATATTTTTTTAATAAATGATTTTATAATTATAGAAAGCTGATGTGTGTCTTTCTGGAATGGAAGTTAACTATGAACGCTTCCGTGTGATGGATTTTTCGTCTGTCTTTGCATCCCTTCCAGAAGTCTTTATTATTAAAGCTCCTGATAAAATTTCTGATTGGAATTCTCTAAGTAAGCCATTTTCCTTAGAAGTAAGTAACTATAAAATATCTTAAACCCTACTATATTTACTACTATATTTGTACTACTATTACCTAAAAATATAATTATATTTTTAATGAAATAGATATGGATCGCTATATTTCTGACTGTATTAGTATTCGGTTTGGTCCTACATGTAGTTCTTCAGAAAGAGTTGGTTGATGCACAAACTCGACAACGTTGGACACGTTATCGAACTTTTTGGAATATATTTTGCACATTTTTGGGGCAAGGTAAAATATACTAATTACATACATATAATATGATCGCAAAGCCCAAGTAGTATACCGTCTACCTCTAATGTCAAATTAATTATACCAATCATTTAATTAGCCATATTATAGCCCGATATTTAGGCGATCGTTTGGTAATTTATTGTATACTAATTACAGTGAAATGTAAAGTTTATCAATTAAATATATATTTAATGTCATTTAGGATTAAATGTAGACAAGGTGAAAAGATTTGCATCCAGATTTATGATAGGAATTTGGTGGTTATCGATTGTTGTTTTGGTATGTGCTTACAGCGGAGCATTAAAGTCATTCATGACTTGTCCTATAACTGAATCCTATCCAAGAGATTTTCAGGAACTTGCAGTCTATGTCCGTAATGGCAAGTACTCATGTGGAACAAACGGAGGATTTCCTATTTGGAAGGAGATCTTGATAAGTGTTTTCAATTTCAAGATTCATACTTTACTCTTAACCCGTGAAGCGGGGTCACTGCGACCTTAATACAACTCAATAAGACTCAAAGTACCTTTAAGTTAGTTGTTCTAGAACCGTTAGGAAGGTACGTGTGTTTCTCTGTCGTGTCATAATTTTTACACGAGCTTAAATCTTTCTTTTTGGGGTTCATCTTGACTCCACCTCACGTGTTATGTTGCTATTTTCTTTAATGTAATAGTTTTGTGAAAGTGGCATATATGGCATTAAAACAGCAGTCTAAGATCCTGGTTTTTCAGACTGAGCAAGATTTATCATGTATGATAAAGAAAGAATGTTTAGTGATAAAGATGATGATGAAAATTCTAAAGATTTCATTAGTGACGATGAATCTGCATCAAGATTTGAAACACTGTGGACATCAAACCACAAAATGCAAAACATTATTTTTATGGCAAAAATAATTCTAAGTGGTCCAAAAAATTTATTTTCAAGAGCCATTAGAACTTGTAAACACAATGTAATTACGCATTTTCCGAAAATAACGGGACCAGCTGAGTTTCTTTGATTTCACCGTTTTTTATCCATTGCAGATAAAAGAAAACAGCATGAAATAAATTGTTTTTTTTATTTTCTTACGAGTAGTGTTTAGTTCTCAAGTGTATTGGAATGCAGGCCATACACTGTGCCCTTAGTGTGTAGAAGTATATTTAATTAAGTGTCTTACGTTTTGAAGTGTTATTAGTACTCTAAAATTTAAATTTTTTTTAATGTTAATAAAGTGCATTTCAAGATGACATTATGATTTCATGCATTAAAATGAATAGCTATTGTATTTGCAGACAAGTAATGCAATAATAATAAATGTTTTCAGCTATATTGCTCAATACTACATCAGTTCAAATAATCTTTGCTAAAGTGTTGAATTTAAATTTTTTTTAATGTTTAAAATGTGCATTTCAAGATGACATTATGATTTCATGCATTAAAATGAATAGCTATTGTATTTGCAGACAAGTAATGAAATAAAGCTTCTAAACTCAGTCTCTTTTATGGAATTCATATTGTTTTTCTAACTTATTACTTAAACAAAACTTATTAAAATTATTAAAAGTTTTCCGTTCATAAAAAAAATCTTAAAATTGAATTTTAAACTTTTATTTTGGCATCTTAGACTTCAGGAAATATGGTATATATTTTTATATTAATTACAGTTACATAAAAGATTGCAGTTTAAATTATTAAAGAATGCAGTTTTATCATCAAAGAAAGCAATTACATTTTGTTAAAATCTGAAGATGTTATAGTTTTAAATTCTTTGTATTATATACTTCTTGAAAGCTATTACTTCTAATGAATTGTTAAAGTATTTGGAATATTAAAGTGTAATATCAGAGTTAAGTAANTTTACTTAAAAACAGTAAATTTTTAATAGAGTAATTCGTTTGTTTGAAGCTAAAATTATAGAAAAATTATTACTTTTACGACCTAGAGAATCGTTACTGTCATCATCGCAATCGCAATTTCAACTTTTATCAATCGAAGATATTAAAAGTCCATTGTTATTTATGGGTGTTGGATATTTATTTGCACTAATCTGCTTAACATTTGAAATGATATTCGCAAAAGTATTTAACAATATGACTTGCAAAAAGTTTTATTAAATTTAAAATTTGCAAAATATGTCACGAATGAATTTACTGATATTTTTAGCACGCACAAAATAAAATTTTTTAACTTTTGCCCTGTCATTTAATTGCACTAGATAGAAGTATTTTTTGAATACGAATGATACTCAATAAATTAAAATAATTATTATAATGTACTGTATTACATAAATTTTTATTTTTTACAATGAATTAAGATATTCAAGTTTATTACGATAGTTTTGTATTGCTTTTAAATATTCAAAATAGCTATCAATATAATATGTTTACATAAATAAATATGATGTAAAATTTACATTAATAATATGCATAAATTTTATATTTGTTATTGTAGACTAATTAACAATAATTATCGTTGTTATGCAAATTAATTTATTTCAAATTAATACATTTAATATAGCCTAAAAGTATTCTACAAAATTCATTGGCATTAAAATATGTTATTAACTACGAAAATTTTGTAGTGGATTTAAAAAAAATTTAACTTGACTAAACAGTTGAAGTCAACTAAATTATTAAATTTCGTATTTTCACATAATTTATATAATAAATATGTTAGCTAATATTATATTAAATTATTCAGAAAATGCTACTTTTCTCTTATACAAACAAATTAATATTTACTTATGAAATATATTATGAATTTAAAAATTATATCACATCAATATTTAAATATACTATCTATCTCTGTAAAATACAATGTATAAATTATTCATAATTTTAATAAAGTATATAATATGTAGAATATAGTAATACATCTTACTTCAATGGGCTGCAGTTTCAAAAATTGTAAACTTATAGACTCTCGCTGTCCTCTCTCTGGAGTCTGTCCTTTGTTACACTGGAGAAAGAAAATAAATACTGTATTTGACATTTGAAAAAAGTGTGTCCATCTTTACGGCCGCAGCGTCTGAATAATTATATAGAAATTTCAGATTTTCAACGAAAGTCACGTTATGTAAATTGAATATATTCACCTGAAAGCAGTAAGACAGTTAAAAGGCACTACTTTATTGCTAGGAAGAAAAGTATTGTGTAAGGGGCAACACCCTAGTAATTTTAGGTAGAGAGCTTATAATTCAGATTAAATAATTGAAATTACAATTAGAAATTGCAGCAAGGCATTGTGACAATGTAACAATAAATAAATGCTCGCTGTTCATAATTAATTATTATGTCATTATCAGCCTAATTGGCATTGAATTCCTTTGTATTTTCATAAAGTAAAAGGTTTCTAGACAATCTTCATTAGATACTTATAAGCGATTGACCGCTGTTCTCGGAAAATTTCAGGCAAATATTTTGTAAATTCTATATTAGCGTTTTATCTGCATTAAGTGTTGATTAAAATTGTATAAATTACATAATTATAAGTTAATATTTTAAAAAATATTTGATGGCAAAACAATCGCTGGGTTTCGTATTATCTTCTATTTCAGACAGAACAAATTTTTGTGTTGAACTGTTTTAGAAATGTTATTTTTTTCTTATTTAAGAAAAATCAATATTTACCTATTCAATGTAATATAAATTAAGATATCTTCAGTAATTAAACTATTTACAATTGTTCAATTCGTATTCGGTGTAAAATGTAGTAATACAATAATGTATACCTTACAGAAAGCAGATAATAAAATTTCATATTACAGCTTATAACATCTATGGTTGCTTACTAAAAATTATTTATTTAATATTAAAACAATATATCAGATAATCTGTGAAAATTGTATTTTACAGGTTGAATATTTAAACGCGTAGAAAATTTGATTTATTAATTTAGTTTGTTTTAATAGAAAGCGATTAAATATTTTATGTTCATCAAATAATACTTGAACTAAGAACTGTTTTTCACAATTGTCTGATATGTTTTAATGAATTAAAATATAAAAGTTGAAAACATATAATTATTTCAGCGTTAATCATGTAAAACAACAGCTTTAATTTATAAGTATAAATAAATTACTAGCAGATGAGCCCGGTGTTGCTCCGGCTAAAAATAACAACAAACATTAAGATTATTGCATTCGTTCGTACTTCTATCCCATCTATTATATTATAATACTTAACTTANACGCAGATAAAAACAAAAAATCGCATCTAAAATAGCGCAGTAGAAGCCGTTTTTCCGGTTAAGACTTAATGCTCCCCCTCACCCCCCCGCGTTGGAATTTCGAAAAATCCTTTCTTAGTGTGCGTTTCCATGACGTACCCTAACTGTGTACCAAATTTCACCTCTTTAGGTTAAGCGGTTTGCTCTGGGCGATGATGAATCAGTGAATGAATGAGTGAGTCAGTCAGGACAAGCAATTTTATATATTTAGATGGTAGTTAATTAGTTGGATTCAAATAGCTCAATATTCCAAAGAATTTTGTAATTTACTTGCGTTTTAAACTGTTCTATACTAAAAAAACAGTTATCAATATTTCATAATTTTTAAAAACCAAAAGATGACCTGTAAAACAGGTTGAAAACGTTTGTTACAAGTTAGGGAAGGACGGGGTAAGTTCAGCATATGACGCAAGCTCATCAATTAAATTCTCTTTGAAAGAAAATAAAAAAAGACTCTTTTTAGACGTTAGACAGTTGAGTTTTAATGACAGCTTGTTGAATGTAGTGTCTGAGTTGTTCTCCGACAAGCGTAGTTGAAATATTTAATAAGTTGTCTGTTTCATTCAAATTTTATAATATTTTGCTTTTATTTATATACAATTGGCATGTTTTGTTATAATTCCATAATAACGAAAGTTATTTTTCCTGTTAGAAGGATAAAGCATTAACTTATTCATGTGGCCAGATCATTGATTAGTACCCTATTCTCAAGGTCCCACTTAATGTTTCTAAGTCATGACTATTGGGGCATCATCGGTAGTGTTGCCGATCTTTTTCCTGATCGAGTTTTGCTCTGGTTTGATGTGGTGTCAAACAATAAACAACAACCATAAGAAATAACTGGATCCCCATACAAAGCCACACTAAATACCAAGGCTAAAGTTAAATCAGGAACTTGCAGAAGGGCAATGAATTTGGAGAAATTGGATTCGAAGTTCACTGAAAGAGAGGGACAGAAAAGTTCTAAAGAACCGGAGAATGACGATTTAAATACTTATTCTTATAATAATACAATAAATAGAAGTATGACTTTTAACCAAGAAAAAATTTTGGTTTTAGTAATCTTCTTCCGTTGTTCGCACTAACAGCAGGTTATTATTACTTAAAATGTATTATGTGATTGTGGCAAGAACACCAGATGACGCTTTTATTATTTTTTGCATATTTTACTACAGAGGCAGTAGCCTACAAAGGAAGGTCGTCTCCGTGAGTTTTTGTGACTGCTATCTTTTTATAAAGTTATTATTCTTAAGATTATTCTTATTTCCAAACTGATTTTAACCAGTACTATAGTAAGGTAACATTCTAATAGACAAAAACAAAGCTTTTTTTCAGTTTCCAGCAATATTTGTTACACTATATTTAAATTATTTTTAACGAGCCGCAGTTTCTCCATCCTCCTCTATATATAATTCTGGGGTTCTTATATTTTTGCAAAAAAATTGTATAATGTATGTGGGATATCGCGTTTATACAAGAATTATTGGACTTCTATTTGAAAAAAATTGTAGACTTATTAATTTTGTCTGATACCTGTTTTTTTTTTATCTCGAGAAAAACGTAAAAGAGATTAATTTCGAAACAAAATGTTGAAAGCATATGTTGCACAGGTCTAGATTAATAAAAACTACTCATTGTTTAATAAATAAATTTGCACTCGGTTTAAAATGATTTAATATTCGTATGTACAGTACAAGTCATGTAATTTCTGCTTGTAATATACAGTAGATCCCCCTATAAAACCGTTTCCTATAGTTATGATTCCTATAAAAATTGTGGCAGTACAGTAGATCCCCCTATAAAACCGTTTCCTATAGTTATGATTCCTATAAAAATTGTGGCATTATCCGTAAACAACGGTAAAAATAACTCCTATAATACGTAAAACGTCATCGGGCAGCCGAACTACTTTCCCGCCGTCCGTAGCGCCACGCTACGGACGTTTAGGCGGATAAATTGAGTTTAGTATCGTCTGTTCATATAATTATATATAAATTAGGTACTGTACATATAATTATATATTAATTATATATAAATTAGGTACTGTATATATAATTATATATTAACTTAATTTATTGTAACTTTATTATAATTAAATATATATTTTTCGCCGTCTAGCGTCACGCTACGGCGAGTTAGGCGACCTATCGTCTGTCCAGTACTGTAATTTTATACATTTCTTGTGAAAGAAACATTTCTTATTTAACGGCCATAAAAATTATTTATATTAAGGATGTCTCCAAAGGTCAACGAAGTTTTCGCAGAAAAATAATATCAGAAATCGCGGCCGCGGTTTGATGCGCTGTTCCGCGACGAAACCAAGCTTTAGCAACGGGCGTAGTCGAACGGTACACACTCGGTAAGCAATCCTACAATTTTTTGTTTATAACGTAGTTTATACGGATTATTTTCAAAAAAATATACGTATTTTGGAAATGTTGAGTCGAATTAGTCTAGAATCGATTAATTTTATGAAAGAAAACCTTTCAAACAGCCGTAGTCCGTAAACTATGATTCCTACAAAATTGATTCATAAAAAACGGAACGTATCTACCGTCTTATAGGGGGATCTACTGTATTTATCATTTAAATTTCATTTTTTCCGAATTTTTTAAAGTTTTTTAATTATGTCTAACAGATTTTGTGTGCGAAAACGTGTGGTTTTTTGACGTATATCTATTTTTTCTCCTACAGGGCGTTGGCTGGTAGCCAGCGAGAGTGAACTTTTTGAAAAACTAGGAGAAAAAGATAAAATAATAAGCTGGTCGTTGGAAGTAAAAAATATTATCGTAGATTACATTTAAAACAAAAGCTTAATTTAACAAATCCTAGTCAAGTTAGTGAAAAGTTAGTTACGTCGAATTACTTCATCTTTTTCCATTGGTATAAGTTAAAGATAAAAGAGACGTAATCGAAATATCAAATATTTTTTAACAAAATTCATTTATGGTTCAACGAATAGATAATTATCGAAAATGTCTATTTGCTAGAAACTAATGCAAACTGTAAAACACCACAAAAACAAATAACAGGAATCTCCCATCCAGCCAAATACGAGATCTACTTAGCTAACTTTACTAGATTTTTGATATTTTATTTTAAAAATTACATGAATTTTCCGACGTATGTTGCAGTGAAGTTCTTAATAAATCAATGTCGAACCATACAACAACGCAAATGTTATAGATAATATTGGTATTTAGTAAAATACAATCATTTATAAAATTCGAAAGAAATATTTAATGTCTGGCGTAATTATTTACATACGTGTAAGAAATGAATCGCGAAACATCGAGTATCGTTAAATTTTATTGCACTGAATGTAAGTTGTTATTAACTAAATTAATAACTCTCCGAAAACTCTATGTGGTCAGCCTGTTGATGAGACGCGAACCCACAACTAACGAAGAAAGTTCAGAGGTCGTGAGGTAAGTGACAATCAATTAATCAGTTTATATCAAATGAATTAAAATTTGTGTTCTGTACATAACGATACATCCACGAGTACTCAGTTGTGTATAACAGCAAATTGGTGATTACAAAAGGAGAATGCAACACTTGACAAATCGATAAGTTTTGCATTAAATGAAACAATACTTACAAGAATTAATATCAGATTAATCGCAAAACATAATACATTCTTCTGAGGAAATTCAATACAAAATTTCAAAAAGTGATATAAATAAAATAAAAATTTCATTTTCTTAAGTCTAATAAAAAATGAATTTTCTATTTTCAAATATCAGCGTTATAAATATGCGTTGTGTTTACTGCCATTGTCGTAATGGAAACAAAATTCAATTTTTAATTTACATTTTTTAAATCACAATGAACATTTTTACACTTACATCAATGAAATAATATTTAAAGAAGCAACGAATGCATATTTTCTGAGTAAAAAACATGATGTATAGTTTCGTGTCCAAACTTTACCAGTGCCACAAAAACGACAAAATTAGATCAAATAGAAGTTAATTAATTAATACTATTAGGCTGTCGGTTCTTATAACAGAAATTAAAAGTACTATTTTTACATTTA